TCCCTGGGCGAGGCGTTCCCTCTGCGAGACTTTCCTTCTGCGAGGAGTTCCCTGGGCGAGGCGTTCCCTCTGCGAGACGTTCCTTCTGCGAGGAGTTCCCCGGGTGAGGCGTTCCCTCTGCGAGGCATTCCCTGGGTAAGGTTCTTATTCTACGGTCAGAGGACCAAACCAGCTCCGATGTCGTTGCAGGGATCTGGATTTCTCCAGGTTCCTCCTGAGGAAGGACTCGTCCAATCAGGAGCCTCCAAGCCGCTATGACCTCATCGCCGTGTCCAATCACTACGGAGGGCTCAGAGACGGACACTGTGAGTCCCTGTCCATCATAGGGGTTGTACTTCTTGGTCTGCCGGTCACATGACCTGCTACGGTGTGTTTGTCTGCAGACACCAGCTACGCCCAGAACAAGGACAGCGCTCAGTGGTTCTACTTCGATGACAGCAAAGTGACGGTGGCCTCAGAGGACCAGATCATGGTCAGTACCTTCTGTTTGGACAGGAAGTGACATCACACCTGAGCCACAGGCAGAACAGAATCATAGAACCCAGTCGGTTGTAGCAGCAAACAGTTTCCTGCTGTGGGATTAAATTTCTCAGCTTTTCTATATATTTATCCATCTAACAGAAGTTATAATAATTACCGTAACGTGTAGAATATGTTATTCTGCCTGGTTGATTGGCGGCTATTGTTCGCCTAAATGATCAGAGGTTCTGGTTTGTTCTGATCGACCCGTTTCCTCCTGCAGACCAGCGCCGCCTACGTCCTGTTCTACCAGCGCCAGGACAAGATCCGCAAACCAACGCTGCCCGCCCCCAGCTCAGGCTCCGCCCCCAGCTCGCTGTCTGACGATGACATCACAGAGGCGGCCGCTGACTGTGATCAGGCGCCGGACTCTCAGGTTGATTCTTATTGATTTGGACCAGAACCGGTCCTGATTCTGGAGGAACCGAGCAGCAAAAATACAAGCTTTAAAGTTTTCTCCTCAGATTAAATCAAATTACCAATCTGCTGTTTTTGTTTTGTTTTTTTCTCCGTCTGAAAACAATTTTTCTTTTTTCCAAACATCCAGTTTGTGATTTCAGGAAGAACTATTCTGGTTCTGGCGCCGTGGGCCCAGATTGGGCGGCGCCTCGGAACCGATCTGTCAGGGATTTTAAAACATCTGTTTGTATATTTAGCTGTTTGTTTTTTCTTCAGATATTTATTTGTAATGATTGATCTGATCGGCTGGTGACAGGATTTATTTTCATATTTATAGATGGGGGGGGTGTACAGTATTTTTGTAAGTAATGTCAGATTATTATCAGATTATTATTCCAGGGTGGAGCAGCAGGAACCACTGGGCTCATTTCTGTCTTTTCTGTCAAATATCAGAGGAAATTATTTTATTGTACTTGAATCTTTTATATGAATTAAATGCTTCTTACCACCAGATGGCGCCGTTTGTCTGTGACTCACATTATTTCATATTAAAACCAAACAGGATTATAATCCCGCCCCTCTGTAACTGAGGAGAGCAGGCGGGATATTATTAATCCATAGCAGGTAATGAAAGCTTAATCTGAAATAATTCAGCATCAGGAACTCGTTCAGTTTTTACCCAAACCTGTTTTCTCTGTAATCTGGAGGCCTTGATCCTGCTAAGCTGGTTTGTTCTCTGCTTCAGCATCGATTCTTCCTTTCAGCATCACATGATGCTCCACAATACAAGAAAGTGCTTTTTGGAAGAGTTATAAAATATTAGCCTGATAATCCAGACTAAATGTGAGATTAAAATAAGGACAGTTTCTGGTTCATGGTTTTAGATTAAACTTTAAGGGCAAATAAATCTATATGTGTGTAGTGCAAATAGCTTGTATAAAAATAAATTAGGCTGATTGAATTTGCCTTTAAATTATTTACAATTATTTAAGAAGTAAATCTATCTTAAGCTGATCTGGAATAAATATGCAAATTTATTTAACATAATTATTGATTAATAATTATACGGAGTTCAAATTACTCTATTGGAAATAATATTATTTAATAATAATAATGATGATTACAATGATAGAGGATATAAATAACAGGATTTAATTCCTACATTAAGATGAATGGTGGAGACTTTAAAATGACCTATTCTCAATGAATCCATAGCTCAGATATATCTGGAGGTTAAATTGACTGAAACTTTATGGTTTTTCTTCAACAGAACATATTTTATTTGTTCTGATCAAGAAAAGGGTGGAAAGAAGATAAAACAAGAGAAAAACAGCAAAGCTAAACTAATAAGGATCCATATAGATGCTGTTTATTTGGCCTTATAAAGGAAAATGATCTATTAAGGTAATTGTTAGCAGCAGAGGACAGAAACGACTGCTAGACTTCTGGATGAAGTTTGAACACCTCAGCCTGACTGTCTGATGCGCGTTTGGGAAAAACCAGCTTAGTTGATGTTTGCTGATGGTTCAGCTTCTTGCTCCCCTGGTTTGGTGTTTCTTCACCTCATGAAATCTTGTTTCTGGTTCTTTGATTTTGCTTCGCCTTGGAAACATCGTTCTTGAAATCGGATGGAAAGCCTATATTCTTCTTCCACACATCATGTCTGGTGGAAGCAGCAGAAGGCTGTGCTGCAGCGTCTCCCCTTGTTTACAGCGCTGCAGCTCCTCCCTCCCTCCTCTGCTGAGGAGATGTTTGTTTGGATTTCTGCAGAAGTGATAAAGAGAACCGAACACTAAGGAAGTACATTTACTGGGTAAGTTTGAGATTATGGAATAATTCAATGATTTGTGACTAAGTTTAAATTTTAATCTAAAGTTCTTTAAGCTACCTGACCTCTGACCTCTGGCCAGGCTGTGACTGACAGGTGACACATTAAAATGACCTACAGGACCTTCTTTCCCCTAGAGACGGCTTTACAGAGGGACCAAGGTGCCTGGAGACCCTGATGGAGGACCATCACAGCCATCCTTCCATCCTTCAGCAGGAGGAGGCGTGGCTTGAAGTCATCAAAAGAAAGTGATCAGAGCTCATCTGGAAGGAACCAGGAAAAGCTTCAACAATCAGAATAAAGGGGCAGAATAATCCCCTCTGATTGGTTAATTAACACATCAGTCATCCACCTGATGTGTTCAGGACCAGCTGCTCTGCAGACCACCCATTGAACCACGTACAAAATGTCGCCTGTATAAGGGACCAACATC